CGTGTTGGGACCCCAGCCGGATGCAGAGACTAGGGTTTTCAGGCACCCCTCCTCACCTTTCACCAAGGTGGTAACTGGATTGGCATTTCTGAGGGATTATTCTGTTACAAACTGCCCCACCAGACCACCCATCCCCAGCAAAGTAGTTTTAGGTCATGCCCAGGACCAGGAGCCTCTAAACCATCCCCATAAACTTCTGCCCTTACCTCCAAGATGTTCCAGGAGCAGCTCAGCCCCTCTCTCTCTGAGGGCCTGGGTTAAAATGGAGGCTGCTCCACCCCCTCAGCCAATCCCAGGGACCTCCTAGGGTCATGTGCTAGCCTTGGTGAGGCTAGCAACCACCTTCTGGCTGCTACACTGCCAACTAGAACCTTAAAGTGGCAGGCACTGCAGGTGCCCTGCCACAATATGATTGTATTATTTTTCATATAATAAAGACATCTAGTTCTTTTTTGCTTTCATATATTTTAATACTTTTTTTTTCTATTAGGTTATCGTTTTGACACTATCCTAACTTTCAAAACAGAACTACCTTTGGCTTTTAAAACTGCGATTATACAGTCTTAAATGATGTACTCATAGCAATGTAGAGGGATAACCCTCTTCTTAGCCTCATGGGAGAGCTAGGATCTCTAAATTCTAGTCTTCCTCTTCTTAAAACTTGAAGAATTTTATCAGCTTTTCTTCCATAATAATTTCCCATTTTAGATTGAATAAATGTGTATGCAACTGTAAATCAGTTGAAGGTGCATGGAAGTGCTTTTCAGTACAGTAGGCATTTTTACATATGCAAGCACCACAGTACTAGGAGCTTTGAAAAGCACCTGGCAATGCATTGCTTGCAGTTGTATAAGCAGTGAAATGCATGTCAACATGCAGAAAATGGTGTTGGTCTGCTTTTGAAGTAAAGCACATAGACAGTGATTTAGTTCAAAAGTGCACCACAGCCATTTTCTCCATGCTGACGCACATTTTGCCACTTATACAACTGCAAGCGAAGCAGTGAAGTATGGATCAACTCATGTGCGGAGCAGATTTGATTAACTGAATCTGCTTTGATGCACTGAATCTCTGGCACATCCAAGCACAAAAATGTATGTGTATAAATGCCCAGTATGTCTATCTATGGATGTTGAAAGAGAGCAGAGGTAAAGACAATGTAGGCATAGCCTTATTAGATTAGAGACCTAGGAAGCAAGATTTATGAGAAAAGGCTGAAAGAACTAGGGTCCAAAGAAGAGAAAACTGAAGAAGGATTTGATAACAGTCTTCAAATACTTGAAGGGTGATTTGAGAGAGGATGAAGATGAGCTTTTCTCTGTGGGTGCAGTTGACAGGACTAGGGGAAATGTCTTCAAGCTGCAGCAGACGAAATTTAGGTTGCATATAAGTGGAACAGGGAGCCAGAAGCCCCCATCATTTTAAGTAGACAGTGCAACAGACCAAATCTGCTGCATTGGGCTGCAACAGGGGAGCACAGACTGGCCATAGAGAAAGCCCCTGTGTGGGGCTAGGGCGCCATATGAGCAAAAGGGGTGGGACTTAGAGGCATATAAACCCAAGGCCAGAGACAGGGCAAGCAGTTGGTTTTGCATGCTGCAGGAAGCAGAGCTCCAGGGAGAGAGGGGATGAAAGAGACAGCCTGGCAAGCACCCAAGCCACCTATGACAGCTGGGCATAAAGAGATATATGGCTTGCAGGGTGGCATAAACCTAGTGTGACCACTCATCCCTAATTGGGTAGGACAGTCCTGGAATGGGAACATTAAGTCCTGGTCTTGGGCTGCAAGACTTCAAGACAGCATTTATCTTGGATTTACAATATTGCACAGGGATCCGGGTTTCCCCTTGCAAGATGGCAAAGTTCCAGCCTTCAAGGGACTGATTGGGGCTGCCAGGAGTGGGCACTATATGCATATGCACTCATGCACACATGCATGTAACCAGGAATATACCCAGGCAATGTGGAGAGCAGCTCCCTGCATGCAAGTATATCAGGGGGGAGGAGCTATGTGGGGTAAGTAGGAGAGGAAGAGTGAGGCTCCCATGGTGAGAAAGAGAGCAGGGCAGGGGATGGTGGTACTGTTCAGCCAAGGCAGTACATGGGGCTCAGGGCCTGGGCATGGAATGAAGTGGAGCCAAGGGTGGCTTGTTTCAGGGACCCAGAGAGCTAGGTGCAGTGTAATGAGACTTGCTTGGGTGGGGGAGCCCAGGGGACTGGAAAAAAAAAAAAAAAAGGTAGCCATGTCTGGCTCTGGGAGCTCAGGGGCTGAAGAGCCCAAAATGGGAGAGACCAGGGCCAGGGGCCAATGGCCTAGGAGTGGTGAGACAGGGCCGGGGCCCAGAAACCAAGTCCCAGGGCAGTGAACCATGGCTGAGAGGAAACAGCCAGAGAAAAGGGATTGAATCTAGGAAGGCTAAAGCCCCAAAGTTTTGAGACCTGAGGGACCCAAGTGTTGTGGTAGGGCCATGCCCCCCACTCCCAATGTGATCAGTTACCACTTGCAAGGTATGGACATAGCTACAGGGGGGAGACTGAGACCATGGGTGCAGCCCATACAGCACCTTGTGCTCTGAGGCACTGACAGAGCTAAGTGGGATACAGTTTAGTGCCCTAGGAGGCAAAGCTGAGACTGGCTGGTTGAGGATGTGGGACTCAGTTTGGGACCCTGGGGAAGCTTCCTTATAACCCATAAGAAACATCAAGGTGTGTGGTAGGTGAGGTTAAAGAGAGACAGTACCCCACAGAGTCAGAGTGGGGCAGGAGTCACTGGGTGACCAGGGGACATCAAAGCCACCCTTTGGGCCAGGTCTCTGCTATAATTAGGAGAAACATTCTGGCTACTGGTATGAGGCTGGTAAAGTACTGGAACAGGCTACTGACAGAAGTTGTGGCATCTCCATCCCTGAGAATTTTCAAGGGTAAGTTAAACAGACACTTGACTAAGACTGTGTAGTCAGGGATGATCCTACCTTGAACAGGAGACTGGACCCATAACCTTCTAGCCCTACTTTCCTATGATCTTATGGCCAGGGCAGCCTGCAATCTGATTAGAGCTGGTAAAAAAATAAATAAATAAAAAGATGGGTATGTAATTTTGACATTCCTTTACAATTTTCTAATGAATATTTTAATAGAGATTTCAAAATATTTTGAAATGTCTCAGGAAAATACTGTTTGTTATGAAGCTGTTAAACTTACACAGTTTCCCCTCAGTCTTCTTTTCTGCAGACTAAGCAACCACAATGCCCTCAGCCTCTCCTCAGAAGTCATATGCCCCAGCTCCCAAACCAATTTCATTGCTCTCTGCTGGACTCTAATTTGTCCACATCCAGACACAGTACTCCAGGTGTGGCCTCACCAGCACAGAATACAGTGGAATAATTACTTCCTTTGATCTGTTGACAATGCTGCTACTAATACAGCCCAGTATGGTGTTAGCCTTCTTGGCAACAAGGGCACACTGCTGACTCATAACCATCTATTATCCACTGCAACTCCCAGGTCCTTTTCTGCAAAGCTGCTGCTTAGCCAATCAGTGCCGAGGCTGTAGTGGTGCAAGGGATTCTTCTATCCTAAATGCAGGACTTTACACTTGTCCTTGTTGAACCTCAAGAGATTTTTGGCCTAATCCTCCATTTTGTCTAGGACACAATGAAGCAGGGGTGAGCAATTATTTTGGTGAGCTATCAAGGGCCACAAAAGTAGCCCCACCCCTAGACAGGTGCCCAACCCCTGGTCACCATTTTGGGACTGGAAGTCCCGTCCCTAACACCTGACCTTTACCATCAGAAGTTCCTCCTTTTGCCCCCAGAAGTACTCCTTTTAGGAGGGGAGGGTTGCCATCTTGGTACCAGAAAAAAAAAAAAAAAAAAAAATAATACCCTAGAAGTCAAAACACCTACTATAACATATTTTAATTTTATTACAAAAAAAAATATTTGTCATGACTTACGTTTGCATAGTATATATAGAGATGACTGCATAATAGCTCAATATAAATTCTTACTTTGTATATTGTGTGTGGAAGGGTGTTTGGGGTGCAGGTGTGTGCATCTGTGGCAGGGTTGTGGGGGTAGGGTGTGAGGGAGGATGGGTGTGTGCGGGGACCCCCAACACATTCCCCTTCATGGTGCATAGCCCCTGCCAGCAGCAGTGGCAGCAGCAGGAGGCAGGGGCCCTCAGGACGCTTTCGGCACACACTGGTGCTGCCGCCCACCTGTGTGTGGCCCCAGGCAGTGTAGCAAGGAGCGTAGTCAGGCCAGCCCACCTTTATTACAGTTGACCTTACTGGGGGGAGGGGTAGGCAGCCAGCTCCACTGTGTGGGGTTTCCCCTGGTGGCATACAAGTGCCTGGAGCTGCATGTGCATGATAGAGGTGGGCTGGCCTTGCTGTATGTGCTCTTTGCCACCATGTGCAGTGCTGATTAGAGCCACATGCTGCTGGGCAGCAACACCTAGGTTGGCCTCTAGTGCCCACCACCTGCTGCTGCTGCTGCTGGCAGGGGCTTGTGCCATAGGGAGGGAGTGTGGGTGGGGTCTTCACACTCTTTTCATCCTTCCCTCACACCCACACCCTGCCCACCCAAGCTCCATTCTCTCACCTACCCTGCTAGGTGTGGGCTCTGTGTTCCCGCCCAGCTGCAGCTTCCCTTCCCCTCACCCCTGTCACTATTTACCTGCTGCAGCACTTGCTCCAGGAATAGGTAGGGAAGGAGAAGCTACCGGATGCTGGAGAAGCTGAAAAAGGTCCC